GGCCGCGGCTGAGGTGCGGCCAGTTGCCTGCCGCAGCTTTTGCCGACCGAGGCCTCGCGCTGTTCGTGGCAGACGAGGCCATATCGTCGTTAGACTGCTTGAACGCGAGGTGAAGTCGGCAACAACGGCCTAGATTTGCGCGTTTGCGAACGTCACTGCGGCGAACGGCCGCAATGACTGCGAGAATTTCGAACTGGGTCATAGTATCTTTAAAGAAAACGTTTCGGAGTCCAGCTCCATCGTCAGTTCGAAAATTCTAGGACACAGATAAATCAGTAATTAGTACAGTCAAGATAACAACAAACACCTAAGCTGTAAAACCTACCTATTTACAATTTCAAGTGGGTACGAGCTAAAAGTTAAATTCAATCTAGGCCTCTGTTTAAAAATTTACAATGATTCCGAAATGCGCAATCAGAAACACCGGAGCTGGAAGCTAAAACTTTGAAGTCACTGTCAGAAACTGGAACTAAATATAATAATAAAATAAAAATAATTAAAAAATTACAGTTCAATATAATTGGAAATATGTTAGTTGTAACTTGTATCCATCCCAATATAAACATAGTTAATAGGGTAACACCTAAGATCGTTCGGCCGATACCATTACCATATTGTCATTTGTCAATGACTGTCACTATTCAAATACCATTTCGTCAATACCATATTGACAATGACTGTCATTATTCAAATACCATATTGACAATGACTGTCATTATTCGAAAAACACTTTGTTTTCTATAGCGATTTGTGAGATTCATGGCAATGCAGCTCAGTTCTGCAGCTCAGTTCCAAACACTAACATGATTATTACTTATGAGCGAAATGATACTTGCGAAGTGCACATGAATATTAGCCAGAAAAAGTGGCAGGCTCGAGAGGTTAACAATTAACAATAGAAGTTTTCGCCGCAGAAAGACGCAGTGTAAAGAATATAAAGCAAGGACAAATGAGGATCCTAGCTGCCGCAATACGCACACGCAAAAATGAGAATGAAAATGTCTTTTTCACGCCTCACTTTCCAGTAGGACATCTCTCTTCTACTCAACGTACGTACGTCAAGATCTCACTCCAAGCAATGATTGTAAATTCTGTCATTAATTACAGCAAACCTAAAAAAATCAGTTTTTATGCTGCTTTAACTTGGCATATGTCTATGCGAATTAACTACATCAATATAAGGCACGGTCTTTTTAGAACACCTAAATTGCACCTTACAGATCCTGTTTACAACAAAAATCATTCACTCAATCGATGCTTTTTAACCATTAATAGAACATAAATTTCTCTGCTTTTAATTTACATTACGCATTATTGCTTTTGCCTCAAGACAACGTAAGTCATTCGTCCATTAATAAAAAAATACGGTAAAATAGAATGAGGTAGAACAATTGCAAATAAAATGAAGTGAAGGTAACTCGCTGAGTCAATCAATGTCTGTCCAATACGGAAAAATGTGATGATTACTTTTGTTCTCAGGCTGTAGTTAGTTACGGCAAATAGGCTCAAATATGAACCTTATATATCCAATCAGCAACCGGTAGACCTACAAATAAACTCTGAAATGTCAATTTTCGTTAGTGGTTCCTACAATAATGCTCTGAAAGGTCATCTTTTACCTGCTTCACTGTATTGTTTTAATGTAGAGATGTAGAAGTAGAGCTCAAAGAAAGGCGCTCTATGAGTAAGTTTTATAAGGAATTGCATGCAATTACATCAGCAAAAATGCCTCTCTTTCATGCGACAACAGACAATACGTCTGGAGTTCAGCAACAGAACGTGATTATTGAACTGAGGCACAGTTGGATCATATTCATTTCAAGGTTGAACCTAGAATTAAAATGTATGATTCTGGTGACAAAATTTACGTACGCCGGAAATCAGGTGAGTGATGTTATCTTTAATGTTTCAACGAAACAGCTAAATTTTGGTGGAGGCATGCGATCGCGTGGCGAGCGATTGCTTCTAAAAAGTTTAGCTGCTTTATCAACGATAAAATTGACGTCGAGGTTCACAAAAAAATCTTCATGAGCGTCTCGTGTAAGACAGGCGCCATACGTACACTCCGTTTTCCTGCACCACAATGCAGCCATCCGCAGGACTTTGAAGGATGAAGGAGGAATTTTTGTACTGAACTGGCCAGTCCAGAATTATACCGAAAAGTATGGAAAATTTTTAGGCGTAGAGCATGGTATAGATGGCACATACCATCTATATAATAGATGGTGTAAAAATAATTTCTAGGAATTATTGAAAGAGAAAACTATCGAGTTTTGTAAAATGTTGATCATTTATAGGATGTGTCGCCGACAATAACAAGATAAAAATTTGTCTTATTGTCTAATATGTCGTTATTGGCTACCTCTATACCAGTCGCTCTCGTCTGCCCTAGGCACCCAACCTTAAAGGCGAGTCTTTCCTACCTACAACATTCGAATGTCATCTCTGAGTGCTGCTAAATTATAAGAATTAAATCCATATATTTGCGCACCACATAAATGATGCAACGGCAAATAACTTAATGGTGATCTATACTCCTGACATTCCTTCTCACTTGGCATGAATAGAAACGAATATTTATACAATAAAGTAAGCAATTGCTATCCTCAAATCGTATGCTGTCTCTTGAACAATATAAACGATCGTAATTTCAAACAACTCCCTAATGAACAGATGAACATTTTCCAATATGTGAAGAGCAACAGGGCTGCGGAAGCCCACGCCATCACTTCAGCCCCGAGGTAAAGGAGATACAACTCCTTCATTTACGGAACGCTGCCCAGTGCCCCCAACACAGGCAGGCTCCCAGCGATGATTGTGAGCGTCAAAGCGCCTAAATCGCCAGGTCCAGGAGGCTCGAAGTTGGGGAAAATGAGCAAGTTACTTCCGCCTTCTCCTTTGCCGGTAAATAACCTGCAACTTATAACAATATTTAACTATAAATTTTCAATTATTATTAAACTAACAAAATCTAAAAACTGACATTGTAGTCTTTAGTTTGATCATATTAACGCCCTCGCATCAATACTTACTACGATTCTGACACATTGCTTAAAATAGTGGAAATTCCTATTGGTTATTATTTGCCTATTTCCACAAATCGCATTCCAGGGAGCACAGACCAATGCGCAATATCATAGAAAGAAGCTGAATTCTGCTTTATTGGTTATTATTCAATATAATTCACGCCTGAGTCAATACAAATTCATCTCTGTTTACCGATAGCACCACTGTCACTCAATTTTATTTGAGTGATCAATCTTTGCAATTCCACGTTGGACTCCCTATAAATCTTACTTTAAATTTAAAACTTGTATTCCAGAAGAATTGTTAATTTTTCATCTTCCAACATGCACTGAAAAAATTTACAAATCAAACCTACCCGTTAGTCTAAAATAATTAAAACTTTCCACCTAATATTCTGCTTCTACTTAAAGAGAAGTGCAAGAAAGTGCAGACTTTTACCTTCTGACGAGGACGTCATTCGCTTCTGCTCAACTTTTCGCGGCCTTCAAAACGCAAAAATTCTTGGGAACAACCGTCGCCCTCTATGAGCCGGAATTTTAAGACACTTCCTCCATCCGCGGCATCCCATTGTTGAAGCAGCCCCACCCCATAGTTCCGCTTCGCTTCAACTTTCAAAATTCCTGAGACTCAGTTATTACAGCCGCAGAAGAGAAAAGTAAGTTCATCAAAAGCCTATTCATTCCAGCACCGACGCTCATCTTTGGCTCTATTCAATTAAATAACACCTGCAGCCAATTGTTTATTGACGGGCATCGTGGGTCAGAGAGAGCGTGCCCAGGAGTCCCCACGGCCAGTCGCCATGTTAACACCGCAAAGACTATCGCTGCAAGTCTCCTCCAAGGAGCATCAGCTGCAAAAAAGTCATTTGCCCAAGCAACGCCTCTACAGCTACATTTATCGACGCTCAAGAATATGACATAAGTGTCCATATATGAGTATACAAATTTTTGTAGAAACTATTCCTCTCAAAACCGACTTTGTTAAATTGGTAATTATAAACTATAATAAATAATTACCCTAACTTTTAAGTTTTTTTAATTCATGCCTCACTTGTAGTAATTTCTCAATTTTCTTATGCAACAAATTAAAACTAATACTTTTTAACTACATAGAAATTACTTTTTTACCTACAGTGTGTAGACGTGAACTGGATCGAACAGGAAACTCATATAAGGACTTAGCTTGAGACCAATGACGCGGATACAGTATAGACTCTAGCCCAGGCTGGTACAAACATTCATCCAAAGACGTGCCCAGAAACATCCACGCGTGCTCCATCATCATCCACATCCACGCGTGCACCATCATCGTCCACATCCACGAGTGCGCCATCATCATACACATCCACGCGTGCGCCATCATCATCCACATCCACGCGTGCGCCATCATCATCCACATCCACGCGTGCGCCATCATCATCCACATCCACGCGTGCGCCATCATCATCCACATCCACGTTTGCGCCATCATCATCCACATCCACGCGTGCGCCATCATCATCCACATCCATGCGTGCGCCATCATCATCCACAACCACGCGTGCGCCATCATCATCCACATCCAAGCGTGCGCCATCATCATCCACATCCACGCGTGCGCCATCATCATCCACATCCACGCGTGCGCCATCATCAGCCACATCCATGCGTGCGCCATCATTTGCGCCATCATCATCCACGTTTGCGCCATCATCATCCACATCCACGCGTGCGCCATCATCATCCACACCCACGCGTGCGCCATCATCATCCACGTGTGCGTCATCATCATCCACATCCACGCGTGCGCCATCATCATCCACGTTTGCGCCACTTACCAGCGAGAAGAAAGGCAATCCTCGCGTCACGCGCGTCCTGTTCCAAAGGCCACACTGGCACCAAGCGACCGCATACAGCCGCACCCCTGCCACGTCGTAAGCATAATAATCAGAAAATTCCGTTGAACATAGAACTTGAAGACGTTCAATACAATACATATATAATACAATAGCTCCTTACTAGTTTTAATTTCCTTATGTTGGGGATTACGTGATGTACGATGATGTTATTGAGGGAGATGATGATAATCATGATT